CACATCACTACGATGAATTGTTTGAGTTGTTGGACATAGACAACAATGGTGAGCAGTCTAATAAGAAGCCGCGTTTTTACCACAGAGGAGAGTCGTGTGTGTCCTGCGATGATGACGACGACGACCGGGTGCTAGATATTGAGATGTGCCCAAAATGTCAGAACTCGAGGCTTGTGTATGACTGTCCAGCGGAAGACTGTAAAGGGAAAGAGGAAGGTTCTGAGGAATGTCGTGCTTGTTCTCTTTGCATACAGAGGTGTTTTCATTGTGGACGGTGCATCAACGACAGCGAATACGAAGAAACCTTTTGTCTGGAGTTTTTGTGTTCTGATTGTTCAAAGCCGTCTCCTAAGTTACCTCTCTAAGTGGAATAATCTCATCTCTGAGCCTTTCCCTGAGCCTCTGAGCCTTTGCTTCATGGAGATGATCTTTCAACTACATCTACAAAACCTTTTTATTACTAAATAAATATGTTTCCTTCCATCTCTTTTGAATACTTGTCATAAAGATTTGTAATGGCTTTAAACATCTATTTGGCATGAAAAATAAAATAAATGTTGTAACTTTGGATTAGTCTTTGTATTCGCAACACAATAAACAAATTAAAGTAAGCTTTTTTATTCGTGTTTAAGAGCTGTGATTGTTTACGCGCGCCCCATAGTAGAGCGTTGAGCCTACGCGCCAATGGTTGAAAAAAATAGAAAGTATTGTATATATCTTCTTCTGCATCTTCTTCTCTGGGGAGAAGAGAAGAGCAAGAAAGATGTTTGTTTCCGATAAGCCTCGTTCTCCGATTGATTTCTACAAAGACGATAACAATCCATCTCCAACATCACGGGACATAAACATGATGATCGACGGAGATCTACAACAACCGCCACAACAACAACATCAGCATCACCAGGCAATCCTCGGGCTCGGAGACAGCAGCAGCGAGGATCACGAGATCAAAGCGCCGAAGAAACGAGCAGAGACATGGGTACAAGACGAAACTCGGATCTTGATCATTTTACGGAGAGAAATGGACGGTCTTTTCAACACATCGAAATCTAACAAACATCTCTGGGAGCAGATTTCGACGAAGATGAGAGAGAAAGGGTTCGATCGATCGCCGGCTATGTGCACGGATAAGTGGAGGAACATTTTGAAAGAGTTTAAGAAAGCTAAGCATCAAGATAAAGGGAATGGATCAGGATCAGCGAAGATGTCGTATTACAATGAGATTGAAGATATTCTTAGAGAAAGAAACAAGAAAGTGGCACTGTATAAGAGCCCTGCTACACCACCTTCTATTGCTAAAGTTGATTCCTTTATGCAATTTGCAGATAAAGGTGGGCAAAAAAGTTTGCTTTTTGTTTTTTTGGGTTTTAAGGATTTTAACCTCTGATGATAATTGTTAGAGAAGAAGAGATTGGTCTTTTGGTTTCAATTTTGTTTCCCTTTTGGCGCTATGCCTTTTTGACCATTAATGGCTAAATATAGAGTAGTAGAATTGATGCTAAACTATTGACTTTTGGTACTAAATTTGGGTTTGTCTTTCATTTTTCTCTTCTATAATAACTGATGTATCTTTTATATTACTGTAGGTTTTGAAGATACAGGCATTTCCTTTGCACCTGTTGAAGGTACTGATCTGATACTTACATCTTTGCTTTGTTCATCCATTCAACTTTTAAAGCTCCTCTTTTAGAGTGGTACGTTGGAATCCTTGTTAATTAAGTACTGTGAGGTATATATTGATTAATCAAATGATCTGCATTCGCTAGAGAAAAAGGTTGCATCAGTTCTTGCGGTGGAAGCAGTCTAGTCTTGATATGAGTTTTATAGATGTTTCAGGTAATGGCAGGCCAACGCTAAATCTTGAAAGGCAGCTCGATCATGATGGTCATCCTCTCGCCATTCCTTCTGCTGATGCTGTCACAGAAAATGGAGTTCCTCCTTGGAATTGGAGAGAAACCCCTGGAAATGGCAAGTAGCCACTTGGAAACAGTCTAGTCTCCAAATTGCAAAGTTTTTGTTTTTCCTCGAGCTTTTGAGCTCAGTTTTCTTTGGTTTGGTTATTATACAGCAGGCAGTGATGGTCAGGCATATGTGGGGAGGATCATAACAGTGAAATTTGGAGAGTACACAAGAAGAGTTGGGATTGATGGTACAGCAGAAGCGATCAAGGAAGCCATCAGATCAGCTTTTAGATTAAGAACAAGACGAGCTTTTTGGCTAGAAGATGAAGAACAGGTCGTTCGCTCTCTTGACAGAGACATGCCTCTAAGGAACTACACACTCCATGTCGATGAAGGTAAAGTTCACTATCTTGAAAAGTCTTTCTCTGCTGTTTTCATCGAATGTTTGATCTCTTGGTTAGAGAGGTTTCTCATCATCTTTCCAAAACGAAAATGCAGGAATAGCAGTTAGAGTGTGCCATTACGATGAATCTGATCCGTTACCAGTCCATCAAGAGGAGAAGATATTTTACACGGAAGAAGATTACAGAGATTTCTTGGCTCGACGAGGATGGACATGTCTGAGAGAGTTTGATGGGTTTCGGAACATAGACAGTAACATGGTTCGGAATGTATACAGTATGGATGATCTTCAACCCGGTGTCTTATACAGAGGAATTAGATGAGAAAATGGATACTGCAAAAAGCTCGAAGAAACTTAAATTTTCCCCATCAGTTACTGTAAATATATGCTCTTTTCTTTGTACAGTCAATCTTTGGGATTATTTTTTTGTACATTTCTATTTGCGATTGTTAGTGTCAGAGAGCTTTGATTGGCCCGCTTTATAGATCTATTTTGTTTTGATTTCAACAACATTATAAAACCATGTATTTAGCTGCTTATACAACTTTTAAATCATTACATGAAGGAAAACTTCTAAAAGTTTTTTTTTCCACCCGAGGCACAACTTATAAGAATAAGAACAAAATTAGAAAACTTCAATAGGTGCATTATATATAAAAGTTATCTTATAACTACATAAACTCAGTAAGAAGCTGAAACACGCACTGGCACATAAACGGATAAAAAGAGACCGAGGAAAACGCGAGCTGAACAAGAGACTTCTGTTTACTCTTCTTCATCCCATTCGTCGTTCTTGTATGAGACGAGAGTGTCGACTTTGTGAATCTGCAACCAAAGGAGAAAAACATAAACCGATGCTGTTAAGAGAACCATTTCAAAGTGAATGTAGTTTAGAGGTTTTTACAGGGTTTCTTCCTCCTCCTTCTTACCTTGGTATCAAAAGCGTGTAGCTTAACCATCTGTGGATTAGCAATCAACTTTGGATCGCTTTCGATCCAAGTGAATGGAACAGCCACATCCGTATCCGTATATGCCAATACATCAAAAACACCTACACACAAACAATGAGAAGATAAATATGCAGTGAGCAACCCCAAATTAGTACTGATATTTAATCAAACTCAGTTTCAATCCTTGTACGAGTTGGTTTCTTACATGCTTCATCAAGACAAGGCAAGTAAGTTATGCTGGAAGCAACTTGTCTCATGATAGCTTGGATCTCCCTCATGATCTCCTTGTCACTTTTCTCTCTCGATACACTGAAGAAAGTAGAAGAAGATGATACGAGATTGAACAAAAAAAACAAAAATTCAAGAAAAAAACGAATTTCACGATTTCAAGAAACTCACCCTTTCTCAACAACCTCATTATCGGTTTCGATCCGGAAATTCCACCTCTCCAAGACTTCACCAGTAGCTTTGCTCATTATCACAAGCACTACTCTCTGCAACTTCCCAGCTTCAAGCCATTCTTTAGATAAACCCAAAAAAATCAATCAGTCTCTATAAGCGTCTCAGGCTCTCAATATACACAAAATGAATACTTAAAGATCAAAATCTCAAAATCTATGTCAATACAAACTTTACCGGAGATCTGAGAAGTGAGATTTGAGAGGAATGATTTGACGGATTCATCTTCAATAAGTAACATCGGAAGCCCATACTTCTTCACTTTCACAAAACTTTCCTCTGGATAAACCGCACGATTATACAGAATACTAAACCCACACACAAACAAATCAAAAACAACAAATTGAGTCAATTTCATCACTCGCAGAAAATTGAAAACCATAGAATCGCAAAGCCCCAAAAGTAAAACTTAAATCAAGTGTTCCGGTCCATTCTCACCTGTTCGCAGCGTAACCTGGAAGAAGAAGAAGAAGAAGAAGAACCATCAATCGATGAGAAAATCAGTAATTAGAAGAATAAGAAGGAGAAATCGGCAATTACGCACAGAAAAACTCGCTGACGATGGCAGCAGATCCGTGGAGAGTGATGATATCTTTAGCAGCCGCGGTTTTTGACGCCATGGGAAGCGATTGAGATGAAGAATCAAATGGAGAAATGACGATAAACAAAACTAAAATCAACGGAGGATCTGTGAATTTTGAACAGTTATGATTCTGGTAGTGTAAAAATTCAGAAGAGGTTTTCGAGCGGTTGCTAGGGTTATTGATGATTTGAAGAATAATACTCTCTCAATGACTAAAAAAAACGAAAAAGAAAAAAGATAAAGGAGCGTAACGGCTAGTCCTTTGTGGAAATGCGCTTACAACGGCTACTTGTAAATTAGTATAATGAAGTTAAAGCTTATACTATAGTAATAATTGGTAGTATTGTGTGGATAAAGTACAAAATGGACAATGGTATTTTCATATTTTGTGTTATGTATTTAGAAAAAAACCAAAAAAATTTATAATCATTTTTAGAAGATAATCCAGATTTAACAAAGCCTAGCAAGATCATTTTCAGATAGCCGGTTGTGTGAGAGCATACGTAGGCCTGAATTTTTTGGGAAGGGTAACCCATCCCGTCCCGTACCCGTCCCGAAATTCCCGAATTTTTCGGGAAAGGGAAATTATAATTTCTCATTCGGGATTGAAAATAATATTTGAATGGGTAAGGGAAAGAGTAGGGACGGGAATGGGATTACCCGAACTTCCCGTTGGATAATTATATAAAGTAAAATTTTAGAGATTTCGGTTATTTGAAATTTTTTTTTATAATAAATAATGATTTTTCCAATTTATTAACAAATAATAATTTAAAAAAAACAAAAATTGATTTTAATCTAATTATCTGAATTATCCGAAATTTTTCCCGTCTCTTTCCTATTCTTTTCCCGATTATATTTTATTTTTGGATTGTATGGGAAGTATGTTTTGATTCCCGAATTTTTCGTTCCCGTCCTATACCCGTAAATTCCCCTCCTGTTATTTTGTGGGAATACTTTGGGTAGTATATTCAGATTCCCGAAATTCTTATTCCTATCTCTACCCGTCAATTCCCGTCCCAATTCCCTCAATCATCGCTTCTAAGTATTATCATAGTAAAACTCATGATTTACTCAAAGTTGGTATAATTAAGTATGATTTCTTAAGAGAATCATGCAGTAAAATAATTTTGTAATCGCACTACTAAATTACTAATATAATTGGGTACAACTATTCAAAAAAACCTAGAATGAGTGCTCTGATTCTCTAATCGAATACCATCATTTCTGAATTAGACTACAAGCATTCATTCCCATTAAATCTATGAAAACTTTGGCAGTTTTGGCTTCGTAATTTGACCAAAGGCAACAAAAAAAGGTAGAAATTAAAGATGTGAAAACAAAGCTATAGTCAATGGTTATTATGTTCTTTTGTAGCCACACCTAGTTCTCACTTAGGTTCCTCCGCTAATGCCTGCACATTATTAGCAGCTTGCTTTTTCCCTCTCAAAGCAGTCGTGTATGAAACTGTAATACCAAGTTTTTCTTGAACCAAACCAACGATAATCTTTGGAGTGAGTGTGCGTAGCTGACCTGGGTAATATTCATGCAAAAAAGATGCAACTAGTTGTGGTGAGCATTTTCTTCTGTTTCTGCTTGTACCTGTCTTAACCCGAGCACATGTATGGATCTTGTTGTGACCTCTAACTAAGAAACAACCCGAATTCTTAACCTTGGAAGCTCGTAAATACCATTTGCAGCCATATTTTGCTTGACGACATTTTAGCAAATATAACAACGAACACGACTTGATCGTAGCAACATCAAAACAGTTCCTAACTGAAGCTTTATCAACTAAATCTTGCACTTCTTGCTTATTTCCAAATTCTTGACCTATAGTTAAATCAATACCATCTTCCCATCCATGATCTGCTTCTACAACATCAGGTATAAGCTCCACATCTCCAGATATATCATCATTATCCACGATAGCAGCCGCTGCTTCTTCACCATGTGCAATATCAAAAACATTGTCCAAGAACTCATAGTGTTGTGATGGTGCGACTATATTAGTGATGATAGCATCATTACCACTTGAAGGCTTATAAACAACATCTTGTATACGCGAGGGATTGCTTCCTTCTACTCGGGAACATGATGATGGAACATCAACTTCAGTTCTTTGCACATGCAGAACATTTTTACGCAGGTCTTTGTCGATATCCAGTAAGAAACCAAGAACATCTTCATCATCCAATATATATGATGGTCTCTTTGGTTCCACTAGCATTGGAATGTAACTCAATTTCAACTTCGTAGTAGCTTCATCAATCTTGGTCTTTCTGTATATATTCTTGACCAACTCGGAATAAGTGACCTCTTCCATAGGTTTCTTAATCAGAAGAGCATACAATGGAGTTTCTCTTGAAAAAATCCATCTAAATGATTCGCCATCTTCGTTCTTTGTATAAGAACCACCATACTCGAAATATATGACTGTGTACTTATTATAATTATTCATTGTCCTGTGAAAAAAGAAAAAAAAAAACAACACTGTCAATTATTTCAATATCAGTACCATTCAAGCTGCACAATGCCAACATAAACAAAGAAAACATGTTTGGTATGTACATATATTCTTGGTTTATTGTGAAATTCCTCGTTTTTGTAGCATACAAAAAGAACAAATTTCAAAAGATCTAGAAAAAAAAATAACCTAATTCGTTCTCTACCCCCAAATTGAGAACGCAGATGATAAATTACCAAAACAGAAATTGATTCGTAACACATAATCGAAACAAAAAGGCGTTTATTCTCTAACGTATAAAACAGGCATAGTAGTAGAACCTGAATCATGAAGCTTAGCGTTTCGAGTTTCAATCGTCTGGGGCGGTTGAGCTCGTTCAGATCTCAGGAAAAATGAAAAGAATCGATATTTTAATTTTTGTTTTTTGTATTTATTTATTCTGGAATAAGGGATAGTGTAATATTTTATTTCATTTTGAAATTTGGAAAATCGAAGTTAGAATTAATATTTTTTAAAAAAATATAAGGATAGTGTAAATATTTTTGTTTCTTTCTCAGGAGATTCACATGAGCCACATCAAACAGATGAATGAAACCATTGTTGTTCTCTCTACTAGAGAGCTCTATCTTCTCCTTCCAGAAGCTTTCCACCACTCATTGTTGCACAATCAAATGTGGTTACATGGCAGATGTTTACGTATCCAATCGAATTTTGGATTCTTATACGAAACTTGGGTTCCTGAGTCATGCCCACAAGCTGTTCGATGAAATGCCTGAAAGAGACTCCGTGTCTTGGAACACGATGATCTCTGGGTACACAAGCTGCGTGAGACTTGAAAGCGCATGGCGTTTGTTTACATCTATGAGAAGGTCTGGATGTAAGGGTGATGGGTATAGTTTAAGTAGGTTATTGAAAGGGGTTGCTTTTGCCAAAAGGCTCGATCTTGGGCAACAATTGCATTCTTTGGTCTTGAAAGGAAGCTACGAGTGTAATTTATATGTGGGAAGTTCGCTTGTTGATATGTACGCGAAATGCGAAAGAGTTGAAGATGCTTTTGAGGCTTTCCAGGAGATTTCAGAGCCTAACTCTGTTTCATGGAACGCTTTGATCGCTGGGTTTGTGCGGCTGCGAGATATCAAGACTGCTTTTTGGTTGTTGGGTTCTATGGAGATGGAGGGTACTGTGAGATTAGACGATGGCACTTTTGCTCCGCTTCTTACTCTGCTTGATGATCCAATGTTTTATAGCTTATCAGGGCAAGCTCATGCTAAGGTTTTGAAACTCGGGCTTGAACAAGAGATTACTGTTCGCAATGCGTTGATCACTTCTTATGCAGACTGTGGTTCAGTGTCAGATGCGAAGAGAGTTTTCGATGGCTTGCGTGGTTCAAAAGACTTGGTTACGTGGAACTCGATGATCGCAGGTTTCTCTAAACATGAGCAAAAGGAGTCTGCTTTTGAGTTGTTTATTAAAATGCAAAGGACTTGGATTGAAACCGATGTTTATACTTACACGAGCATCTTAAGCGCTTGCTCCGGGGAAGAACATGAAATCTTTGGGAAGTCCTTGCATGGTTTGGTGTTAAAGAAGGGACTGGAACAAATAACTTCAGTTTCGAACGCTTTAATCTCTATGTATATTCAGTTTCCTACAGGCGCCATTAAAGATGCTCTCTCTCTATTTGAATCCTTGGAATCTAAGGATCTTGTCTCTTGGAATTCGATTTTGACAGGTTTATCCCAGAAGGGTCCCAGTGAGGATGCGGTAAAGTTCTTTAGGTGCTTAAGATCTTCAGACATTGAAGTCGATGATTACGCCTTCTCTGCGGTTCTCAGATCTTGCTCGGACCTTGCAACACTCCAGTTAGGTCAGCAGATTCACGCTCTCGCCACTAAATCAAGCTTCGAAACTAACGAGTTTGTAACCAGTTCTCTGATCTTGATGTACTCAAAATGTGGAGTAATCGAGAACGCGCGTAAATGCTTCGAGCAGATCTCCTCCAAACACAGTACAGTAGCTTGGAACACAATGATCCTCGGGTACGCTCAACACGGTTCAGGCCAAGTCTCTCTTGATCTCTTCTCTCAAATGTGTAGCCAAAACGTGAAACTAGACCACGTAACCTTCACTGCAATTCTAACAGCTTGTAGCCACACCGGTTTGGTACAAGAGGGACTCGATTTGCTTAACTCGATGGAACCGGTTTACAAAATCCGACCTCGAGTGGAACATTACGCAGCTGTAGTTGATCTCTTAGGCAGAGCAGGGCTTGTGAACAAAGCGAAAGAGTTAATCGAATCAATGCCACTGGGCCCTGATCCGATGGTGTTGAAAACTTTCCTTGGAGCTTGCAGGGCTTGTGGAGAGATAGAGATGGCTACTCAAGTGGCTAACTATTTGCTAGAGATCGAACCAGAAGATCATTTTACATATGTTTTGCTGTCTCATATGTATAGTGATCTCAAGAAATGGGAAGAGAAAGCTAATGTGAAGAAGATGATGAAGGAGAGAGGTGTGAAGAAAGTTCCAGGATGGAGCTGGATTGAGGTTGGAAATGAAGTTTATGCGTTTAATGCTGAAGATCGATCGCATACTCTTTGTCAAGAGATTTATTTGATGATTGAAGATTTGACTCAGGAAATGCAGTGGTTTGATTCTGATAATGAGTTTGATGATCAAGCTTCACTTCTTGGTTTAAATCCCTACTAGTTTTGCTTCTTCTCTTTTTTATCTCTTGTATATATGAGGTTATACTATAGAAGGTTAGTATGAATACGTTGCGATTTTTTTTCTGTATTTCTTGCGGAATGATATGATGGATAAATTAAAATTTGTTTAATAACTTAATTGGTCGATATCAAAAGACAGAGATACCTTTAAACGTGATGAAGACAGATAATAGGCGTACACCGGAATAATTTTTTTTCCCCAAAATTACAAGTCATGTCATTCAAAAGTTTCTTGCTAATTTTTTTTTTTTTTGGTCAAAAGTTTCTTGCTAATTAAGTTCTTTGGTTATCAAAAAAAAAAAAGGTTATTTGGCTATCAATCTAATTTTTTTCTTTCCCTGACGAATTAGTTCCTCCCACAGTGGCATAGTGTTATCGATAAACATGTCCCTTCATGACATGTAAGCTGCAAGAGACATGGTTTGAAATAAAAATATATTTGTCAACGGAAAAAATATATTATCCAATCCTCTTTTAAATTATTTACTGGTCAACTCCCATTTAATTAAACATTTGAATATAAATTACAGGAGATATCAAAAAGGTTGAGTCATCAAAACTAATCCCACGAGCACCAAAAATGTGGCGTGACATTTCTAAACTGTTGACATATTACCGTGAGTCTCAGGCAACCTCTTGTGATGGTGACTTTATTTTTAAGGTGAGATAAAAATAATGATATTCAAGAGTTGAAAAAATATAAACATTTAAGAGTTGACAAGTATGATTTTGCATAAGATTCACATATGCAGATTGATTCAAAATAAAAACTACACTAACAAATTAAAATTTAGATTCACAAAATGCAAAATCCACACTATACTTGTATCTATCAGACAATTTTCTCCTTTCATGAAAAGAAACAATAATTTTCATTTACATTTACATAAGATTCACATATACAGTACATTTTTACGGAAAAAAAAAAGATGACTAGACAAATAAAGGACAATAAGATTTTAGTGTTAATAAGTACAAAATATCCTTTATGCACATTACACAAATACAATCAAACAAATATATACGAACACTGCTATATCTAACACTTCAATCAAACAATTTTCTTCCTTTTGTCAAAAAAAAAAAGAAAAGTATTAATCATTTTTCATATAGATTTCTTGCTAGAGTTTTTCTCTCTAAACCAATCAACCCAATTTCGTAAGACCCACAAAACACTAAGCATAATAGCACAGCCAATCACAACGAGCCACGATATCCAAGCCCACCGTGGAATAGCTCCATCCGCCGCTCCGCTGCCGTAAAACGCCGCCATATCGTACAGAGCCACCGGACCAGCCAACCCCCGAACCACCGTGTAGAACAAGTAGAAAGGAGGAGACAAGAGCTCTCTCACTCTCCTCGCCAAAACGACGTCGTTTTTCCGATACCCAGCGATCGTCCACGCGTTCTGGCACGCGCTCGTCGCCTCCGCGAGGATCAAGAGTAGGAGAAGCCCGTGAGCTCCGTGACCGACGGCGAATCGACACGTGGCGAAGACGTAGAGCGTCGCGATGTGGTGGACGATGAAGAGGAAATCGTTGGGGAGGAAGATTAGGTAGTGGAGGAGATCGATCGTGAAGTAAGCCATGCTGAAATCGAGAACGGTGGATTCCACGGCGGTGTTGGGAGATGCGAAGGAATGTGGCGATGTTGCGGAGGCGCGTGGGGATGTTAGAAGCGCGTGAGATGCCATTACGACGGCGGGAGTGCCGTGGAAGAGAGACATTAAGCAGCTGGCGCCTAAATGGGATGATTTCCATGAGCGGAAAACAAGGAAATATGCGACGAGGTATACGGCGAGGAAGAGGAGGAGAAATGACGGAAGATTCGCCGGAGAAGAAGGATTAAACGACGCCGTTTCCATGTCAGTCTATCTCTTTCGGAAACTGTTTGGGAGCTCAATGTGAGTGGGGTTTTTAATTGAGAGGGTTAAATGATTTGATGTGGTGAGGACTATGGAATATACGGTGCATCTTGAAGTCAAACAATTTATCTCAGCCGTTGGATTAAGGAGTAAGATTAGTTTTAGTTTTGACGTGTACAAATTACTAGTGCGTGCTTACAAGTTATGCTGTGGTGCTTGTTTGGATATTCTTTCCGTACGAAAGGGACATTGATTATTTTTTACTTATTTTTTTCACTAATGAATAAATAAAAATTACAGTTTCTTCAATTTCCCGTGATTACTTTTTTATTAGTGACCGTCTCTTCTCTCTTAAGTAGAGCTTCGTTTCCGGCGATACCATCATTGGTATCATTGTGTTTTGTATTCAAAACAATTTCATTTTAAACACTTTTAAACCTGAAATTTTGGTTTTGGATTTTGACCCAATATCGATGTTTAAATTTCCGATGTGAATTTGGATTGATGTACTAACAGAATTTAACAATATGTTAGCGAGTAACTATTTTAAGACAGCTTTTAAGTAAATGTCCAAGATCACTTAATATTAAGATACAGTTTGGAGTATTAGCACTAATGGGTTTCTTTGGGCTCACCAAAATTGTGTGCTTTCACTAATCGTTTCATTCTTTGGCCCATATTCTTCGTCTTTGTAGGACCCATTCAAACCATTTCTTCGTATTGTGAATTTGTTAATGCTAATTCCATTTTCCAAATATAAACTTGCGTTGACAAACAACCAATAAAAAATAAAAAAAATCCGTTTCACAAAAAGTGTCATTCTCACATTTTTCACACAAATTAAGAAAAATAACATAAAAGATCTTTTATACTCTTATTAATTTGCAGAAATTGACTCTTGTAATTATATTTATAATTAAATTTGTAATTTATGTTAAAAATTACATTGGAATTCTAAAACGACATTCTTTTAAAACAAAGGGAGTATTACTTGTGTTTACTTGTGTTTAATTGTCTGCTTTTGTTCTGGGTATTTGCACATTCTCTGATCTTAAACGGAAGCGAATACTCAAATTCCTAAAGACAAAAATCTTGGGTGAATGATTAAATAAATGTTTTGTCTAAAAAATTATTGGAGCTATAAAACAATATCCTTTGTTTGACTGCTTAAATAAAATGTGTAAGAAAAACAACACCCTTTGTCAAGCGGATTAAGTATTAGATAACAGTTTACATTAACTAATGCGTCATATTTTTGCCAACCCTGATAAAACAATACTTAATAATTAATATATTGATAGTTTCTTTTGATTTTGAGTGAAATCCCGACTAAGGAAATAGTGTTCTTATGTCATCATCACCGGCGTGTATCCGACAGTTACCAAACCCGATACACTCAAACCATTATATGAATTAATATAGCACAGGTGGTTATTTGTTATAAATTAATTAATTGTTATTATATAATTTATGTTGTAGAATGAAATCATATTATTCGATCGCTCTATAATTCAATATGATTTGTGTGAATTTTTCTTAAATGACAAAAAAAAAAAAAAGAATCTTGTTGTTAAAGCAGGCCTTTCAATTACCCAATCGTCTAATTGCTTTCTTCGACATGTTCCACTTCCAAATATATGTTATAAATTCGAACATTGGCAAGAGATTTTAATTATAAACAGAAACTTGAAGAAGAAGAAGAAGCACAAGAGAAGATGAAGAATGTTATGGTGATTATCGACGAGAGCAACTCAAGCTATGAATTACTCATTTGGGTCCTTCAAAATCTTAAAGATACCATTGAAAGCTCCAAATTTTTTATCTTTGCAAAACAGCCAAACGATTCCTTTACTCCTCCAATCATACTTCCTACATCAGTGGGCTTTGCTCAAATTTTCTATCCATTTTCACCCAGTTAAGTCGAAACTATCGACTAATATCTTTGGAAACTTTTCTTTTTAGAAAGATTTTCTTTTTCTTATGCCCGTTCTTGTATGTTTTGCAGATGCAGAACTCATAAAATTGGCTCAAAACAAGAATATGAAGATTGCTTTGGGAATATTAGAGAAAGCCAAGAAGATATGTGGAAATTATGGGGTAAGGGTAGTCTCTAGACCAAAATCATATTTATGGGATCATTTGTGCAAAATACTTTTACCTTTGAAGTTCATGTCATCAACAACCATTTGTTGAAATGTTAATTAGTCTAATCGTAATCATGTTGGAAAACAGATTAAAGCAGAGACACTTACTGATGTTGGAGATCCGAAAGATCCAATCCGCAAGATAATTCAAGAGCGAAAGATCGATTTATTAGTTATGAGCGATCAACAAAACCAAAATCTCAAAAAGTGAGAAAAAAACGTTAAGAATTCAACCATTTTATTTAAGAATTCAACCATACTTATTTCAATCAAAGTTTTATTTAATCGACAAACTTAGTAATGTTATCAAATAAAATCTAAATAACGACAATCATCATTTTAAAAATGCAGGTGTTTACATGATACAGATTGTTCTCTTCTCGTTGTGACGAAATGATTCAGCAAAAATTAATGGTAAGAAACGCCAAAAATCCTATATAGTTTGCTATGCGGTTGTGATTATGTAAATAATATATATATGATTGCGCTCTAATTTGGGGTTATAGTTTTTGAACTTTTGATTGTATGTTTATGTATAAGTCTAATATAAATAGAGAAGAATATTATTGTTTATAATTTGTAATTATATTATAATATATATATATCCTCAAGTGTTGTTAGAAAAATATGTTTGGATAACGTTGGACCCCAACCTGTAGAAGAAGAAGAAAACCAAACATTAAATAATTGGGTAAAATAATTTGATTTTTCTTATATCCAAATTGTTTCCTATCACACCTGAGCTGAACAAAGCAAAAATCAAGTTCCATGAAAAGCTCGGGGAAAAGAGAATGCATGCATTAATGTTATAAACCAAACTTAGGATTTGAATACATAGCTCTAATTAATTTCAAAGAGGAGAGTGTCGAAGACGCCGCAAAAGGCTCCAATCCTGCCTCTACACGAATTATATAGTTATGCTTCGTTTAAAAAAAGATCATTTCAACAGAGATATTGTTTGTTTATTTCATCAAAGAGGACGATGAGATTTTTAGACCATAAATTAAAAAAGTCATTATTAGTCCCTTAGCGTCTCATGTATATTAAGATAAGAGTCACTAAAAGATGTAGTAAGAACACTCTGACTTATTGAATTATTCTTCAATGACCTTATAACATTTGCAAGAGATGTACATAAACGACAACAAAAAACATAAAAACTGACCATTGCTGCTAACTTAAGATAAAAATAGTTGTATGATGCAGATATTTGAAATATTCCATTCATATTGTCCAGGCACACCAAAACAGAGGATTTGAAATTTTCATTTCATAAAGTCCCAACCCATATAGATGCAGAGGCTTAAATAAAATCACAGTGTGCCAAAATTTCTCTAAAAAGCCCAATAAACAACTGAGTGCTATGCCTGTGAAACGTCGTCGTTTTAATTTTGAGTTTTTCATGAAAGTTATTATCTATCACCTATCTATCGTCATCCTTATCTTTGAAGCTTTTTCTCTGTTGTGCCCTCCATGGCTGTTCCTCTATCTCTCTCATCAAATCCTCTCACCTCCCGCCATTGTCACCGTCTTCACTTCCCTTCCACTTCGTTTAAGGTATTATCTCTTTCCTTTCTGTCTTCGAATGTTTTTATACACATACACAGTCGCTGCTAAATCTGGAAAACTGAGAAATCCAAAATTCGACAAAATTTGAATCGTTTCAGGGAAATGTAAGCGTCTTAGGAGCAAACCCATGTCAGATTCTCTCTCTGAAACTCCACTATAAGCGTAGAACGGGAAAGCAACAGCAATTTGCGAGACCGCTTGTTGTGTTGAACCAAACGGCGGCTACGTCTTCTTCATCGGAAGCAGTAGCTTCGGAGAGGTTCCGTCTGAATAACCTTGGACCCCAGCCTGGTTCGAGAAAGAAGGCGAAGAGAAAAGGTAGAGGTATTTCTGCAGGGCAAGGAGCGAGTTGTGGTTTCGGGATGAGAGGACAGAAATCACGATCGGGTCCTGGTATTATGAGGGGTTTTGAAGGAGGCCAAACTGCTCTTTATCGCCGTCTTCCCAAACTTAGAGGAATCGCCGGAGGTAAACTTTTTGGGTTTTGTTTTGTGTGCTATCTCTAGTATCGAACTTTTTGTAGGGTAAGTGTTCGATGAAATGTCTCACTTAGAGGCTCTGTTTATTTCGGTGATGATTGTTGCAATTGTTCCACAAGGCGAGATTGTAGTTAGTGAATAGATATGTTTCCTGGGTTTATTTTGCTGAAAAAAGGTCAAAGCTAGTTTCTTGATTATTTCGAGTCTCTCATCTTTGCTAGCCACGTTGTAAGAAAGATCCTTCATTGATCTCTCGTGTACTCATTTTGTTTTCCTGATGCATCCATCTTCTTGGTGTGTTCTTTGAACAGGTATGCGTTCAGGATTACCAAAGTACGTACCAGTGAATCTCAAAGACATCGAAACAGCTGGATTTGAGGATGGAGATGAAGTTTCATTGGAGACATTGAAGCAAAAGGGTTTGATCAATCCTTCAGGAAGGGAAAGGAAGCTCCCTCTAAAGGTTAGTACCCTTAAAAAGAAAACTGCTTTTGCTTCTTAATCGATCCTACTTCTCTCGGTCATCTTTTTCTCTGTTTGAAACGGGTTTGATTGGTCTTGGGTTTCAGATTCTTGGTACCGGAGAACTAAGCGTGAAGCTCAGCTTCAAAGCTCGCGCCTTCTCAACATCAGCAAAAGAGAAGCTTGAAGCTTCAGGTTGTACCCTCACTGTGTTGCCTGGAAGAAAGAAATGGGTGAAGCCATCAGTTGCAAAGAACCTCGCACGAGCAGATGAATACTTTGCCAAGAAGAGAGCTGCTGCTGCTGCAGCTTCAGAACCAGCAGCTTAAGCTTAGACTTCTTTATTTTCAAGCTCTTCAATGTTGTAAAGCTGCAGAGATAATTGTCTATGAGAAGCGTTAGTTACAACAATTCCTTAAGTCTTTTTTTGTTGTATGGTGAAGAAGAGATTTGCAATTTGATGTTTAAGAGTTATTATCAGAAAGATTTTGTAAAACAGTATAAATTATTGAATATTTTTGTTCCTCAATAGAAACCTTTTTTCAATCTCAAAAGAAATTTTACAAAATAGTGTATCATAAGTGGGGTTATTACTACAAGTTCCCCCATTTTCTTCTGCATAAAATACGAACACCAGATTTCCAAATTGAGATTGAGAGCCATCACGTTTCTTCTTCATCATCATCATCATCATCATCAATGAAAGCTCTTCTTCTAACACGACGTCTTCGAGTTCCAGACACTTGTTCATCAGAAGACTGGTGATTCTCTTCATCCCTAGATGATGTTCCTGTATCACCTTCATAGCCCTCTCCCCATAGCCTTGAAGATCTTCTTCTCACACCTATCTGTGACCTAGCTCTAGATGTACCTGACCAGCTACTACTCCTCCTTGAGCCACTCGACTCTGGCCTAAACACGCGGATGAGGAAGAACACTGTAAGCCAGCCACCATCATCAAACGATAAAATTCCATCGTCATTACTTCTTTCTTCTCCTCCAAAAGAAGATTGGAGTGTGCTAAGTAAATCCCCTAAATCTCTCTGCCTTTCTAACCTCCTCCAGCCTCTCTGTCTCTCCGGATCAGCTTGTGATGGCCTTACTCCTGGATGCTGAAGCCTTGCGTGCTTTCTCAAGTCAGAATAGGTTCCACTGAAATCACAAGTCTCAGAAGAACAGCTTCTATGTTTCGAGTTCATGAAACATCGAGCAGCTTCAACAACTACCCATTCTTTTATATGTCCACGGCATAACGGGCAAGTAAGCTTTGGTTTGGTTTTTTCTTGGTCATCCTCCGTTGCTACAATGCCTTCTACTTCTGCTACTCTCTCACCTTCTCTTACATTCACAACTGTAAACTCAGGTAAAGCCTCTTCTCTCAGATTTACAGCGGTTGAGTCTGAAGCTACACCTTGTGTCTCAGTTGGTACATTAGTTTCCTCTTGCGGTGGTGTCTGTTTAGAAGCTTTGCGGAACTGATCGAAGCAGTTAGAATGGCGGTGGCTAGTGTCACACATGTAAGGCCTGCAACCGTTTTCATAGGAAGAACAAATGAGAAGGATCCCATTGTGAGGATGTTCCATACAGACAGGACACCGAGCTTCTTCCCATTCCTTAACCTGTTTATCACTCGGCTTTAGAGCACGGCTTGACTCACACTCACAATACAGTGGTGATCCTCTAAACTTTTCATGAGACACCGACCGCTGTTTCCTCTCTTTTGGCATGTTATAATCCGAATAAAATTAACTAACAATAGTCCCTTTTAACTTCTTTGTTAGGTTGCAAACCTGCAAAGAGATCAACTTCTCATAAGCAATTTTCGTATTCGCTAATCACATTCCAGAGATTCACTACACAGTATCTTAAAAAGTGATGTACAGAATCAAGATGGCGAATAGACCTAGATAAACAGCTCGAGAGCATCAACCACATATTATGGACTATTTCGAGAAACCAAAAGTCATTAAAAAGAACAAATTGAAATCCGCCATAAAAACTGAACTAATCGGTTCAAGGAAATTGGAATTTTCATCGATTTCTCAGAACGAAAAGCACCATTAATATCATAGAGTTCATAGCAAATAAGCAAGAGCAAGTTGGATCGGAAAAGGTTTGTTATTCCAAAAACATGGAGAAGAACTAGTGACAGCACAGAAAAGTTTCCAACTTTCGCTAATGGATTCATGCATCTCTTCAATCAAAGAGAAGAAATAAACCCTAAACCAGATTCTAGATCAATACGAAATCATACAACCAGAAGAAATAAACTAACCTAGATTGTGAAGAAAACCCTAAAACCGAAATGAAGACAGAGTGAGAGACAGGAGAGCCGAAGAAGATGAGATTACCGAAAGAGTCTAGAGCTTTGTGACGATGATAAAATGACAATTAATCGAAGAAACCCTAAATCGGGCTTCCCATAGAGAGAGCCAACGAGGCGCGACGAGGAAGATGAGGCGGCTACTTTTACTTTTTTTTTTTTCTTTTTTTCTTTTCCGAGATACTCGTATAAAGTTTAATACAATTTATCAAACTAGAAAATAAAATATATTGTTTTAAGGGAAAGGAAAAAAAGGCATTAAAACTTTATATTTTCATGAACAGCTACAGACATAACAACGTTACAAAGTTTCGTGTCCATATTTATCTACATACTTCTTTCTAACAATGAATATGTCTTGTCTTTTTTTTTGCAAAATTTTAGTTTATTTCTTGGATTTTTTCTAATGGTAAAGCTAAATTTGACTAACTATTTTTTATGATTTCCAACTTATTAGGCTTGTATAAATTATAGTATTTGAAAAAGTAGTAACATTTTTTAAAATTAAATTATCTTAGTAAATCTATATAAAAGAGTATACTAATTTATTCCACGGTGTGTATTTATTACCATTCCAGATAAAAAAATTTTACTGTAAGAACTAACAAATTATGAGCTTAATAATTGATTTCAAGAAATATTCATTCGGTTCAAACTACACGATTAATTGAGAAATTGTGGTCAAATTATACATCACAATCTCAAAGTTTGAAGATTTTAAGGTTTAGACTTGTGATCATGCAGTTTGTGAATTGTGTTATCTCAAAGTTCAGCCTAATTAATTTATATAAGAAAATGGTTTCAGCCTAATTATAAAAAGCCCATCTAAAAGTCACCCATAGAGAAACCGAAGCCCAGTTTGGAAAGAGTCCAATTTGCCATCACCAAAAAAGAAGTGACAAAAATCAAACACCAAATTCTACGAAGCTCGAGGTCGTGGTTCATATCTCCCGGGATCGTTGGTCATATAACGATAGAAGACATTGAATCTAAGACCCTATAAATCGCCAAAGAGCCGTTCTTTACACGTTCTATAAAAGAAAGCAAAAGTTAGAAATTATTATAGGGTGAAATTTATAATGAACATACAGTTATTAAAATTTAAACGAAGGTTACTTATTAGTCTGATTGAATAGCCAACTGTGGGCTCCTCTTTTTAGAAGAAACTCGTATCCGGTGAAAATACAATGAACCAAATACAAAATTTAGTTTTTTAGAAGCTATGGAAATTAGTTTTAGAATGGAAATAAAAAGGTTATTGGTCCAATTGAGATCGGCCCATGAAGTCATATTGAGCCCAGGTGGATCCGATCCGTTGCTCTGTGAAACCAACCTCACGCATTACCCTCCGATCAGGCTGGGTCGGTGATAACCCAGGTGCTGAGCATGTGAAAATGATCCAGAAACTTTTTTAACCGGGGCAAACATAATATTAACTATATATTATGGGATTTGAAATTATTTTATTTTCACGAGAAATCAATATTATATATTTATATAATTTATGTAGCCTAAAAATGTTATAAAATAGGTAGTTGTTTTAAGTTAGTTGGAGTAAGTATGCTTAATTACAAAACTTGTCATAAAAACAATGAAAAAAAAAAAAACGAAACAAAATAAGAAGACATTTTGGAGTCACGTAGTAATGATGGGATTTGATTTTTCGTCTTCTGTTTCTGACACGAAGAAGAAGAAGGGGAAGAAGGCAAGAGGAAGAGACGAAAGTAAAGAGCAAACTGGAGAAGGAACAAACACAAAACGGCAAAGCGCAGTTAATAAAACGACACACTTTTTCTAAACTCATCTCATAAATCCAAACCAACTTTGCCGTTTTTGTGTTATATTGGACAACAGAACCAAAAGTATTCACTATTTGCTTGCGTCACAATATCTTCAGAATTTTTTAGTTCTTATAAGTTAAGACGCTTACGTTATATTTTCCTTATTGGTATTTCAACTTTTGTAACAATTATATGCAGAACATAGTCTTATGTGACAGTTCCTTTCACACAATGTATTTATGTATATAATCATTCTCTCTGCCCGTTGCCATTTCTTGTCTAATGTTTAATGTTTTAGTCACGTAAGTCAATAATCGTGAAACAGTTTCTTTACTTTTTTTACGTATCCACATTCCAATCCACTAAACTCACGGTTTCAATTCGTTTATATATATGTAATAATGTATGTACAATACGTTTATCACTCTATATATGTTTAACTGCATTAATTTATTACATCAATTGTTCTTAAGTAAACCTATTCTACATCTATGTAAAGCGACGGCCTAAACGATTCAAATTCATACCAAAAAGGGTAAGTACGTTGGTGGGTGGTGTATTAATTGATTTATTAAAAGTTATTATTGTTTTCTCGTGGTGCAGAAACAGATGTTTGCTATACTTAATTTCTCAAGTGATGGTACAATTTTTCATTGTTTTTTCGAGTTGTTGTCTCGCAACTCCAACTCCGTTGCTCGTGACATTGCCAAGAGCTTACTAATGACGGTCAGTTTCAGTCCTACTTTGCAATGGCTTGCTCAGCTTGGTTACAACTCACATAATCAGAACCTTTCAAAGGCTTGTCATGGCGTGTGATTTCCGTAACTGTTTTATGTTTTCTTATAATTTGTCTCGGTTTTTAGAATGTTTGATATGTTTTATTATATATAATTTAATTTGTACTTTTACTTTCTTTTTCAATAAAACTGAATAATTTATAAAAGAATACCTAAACTATATATATATATATATATCAAAGGTATTATATGTAAATTCAAAAATAGAATCTATTATATATCTATGTGTGTAATTCTTGACAATTCATTAATAAGAGACAAATTATTCTATATTATGTTAGTATATGCTCACACTTAAATAATAAGTACACAATTACAGTCAGAAACTATACACCAATAATAGTACTATACAACTATTTAGTCTATATATCATAATAGATATGTGACATATGTACTAGTACACTAAAAAAAAATCTAATTTAAGAAATTTTTCAGATCTTGTCTTGTATTTATATGTAGCCTTTCACGTGGGCCATTCAAAATTTGCATGAAAGCCACTCTTCTTCTCACAGAACAAAACTTCAATCTCTATCTCTCTCTCTCTTAATTACAGAAACAGTCACAGAAGATAGATCTAACCCGGAGACACAGAGGGAAGAGAGAGAGAGAGAAAAAAAATCGATGATTAGGGTTTAATCAAGAAGACAAACTTTATGTTAGGGTTTAGGTTTGGGATATGACTCATGCTCGAGAATGGAGAAGCTCCTCTCTATTAATGGTGATCTTGCTTTCTTCTCTACTCCATCTCTTCTGTCTAAATTCCCGGGGTGGGGCATTTCGGGTATTTCCAGAAACTTCGACAAGTACCGTCTCTCCAGGTCCTGATAATAGCCAAGGAGATCTAATGAAGAAGTATTTCGGCGCCGGAAAATTTCCTCCGGTGGACTCTTTAGCCGGAAAAGGGATCAGTGACAGTAAAAGAACGGTACCAAGTTGTCCAGATCCTCTCCATAACTAGTAGAAGCAGTTTTTTGATTTTTTGTTTTCATTTCTTTTCTTTTCTTGGTGCCTCTTTACTTAATCAATCCAATCAACAAGTGTATTTTACCCAAAATACCCACGTTTTTCTCGTCGATGTAAGGGGAAAACGAGGGTATTTTGGAGGTTTTAATCACTGATCTATAAACATTTTCAGATATATATCTATGAATCACCTTGGCAATGTCGTTGCAGTTTTGTTAGAAATTTGTATTGATTTATTGCACTTTGATTCTGCATATGTGTATAAGAAGAGTCCTTCCATTAACCATTAGTCAAGCCCGATCAATTCTCATCGAAAAAAAAGAAGAGTAAGAATATAAAACCCCTAATAGTTTTTGTTTGTACGTACATTTTTAAGACAGGTCCTGATTTTAACATGAAAGTTCTGGTCATTTCTTCTTGGTACTCGTCACCTCTGATCGTATATACATTCATTTGCAGCGAATCAAATTAATACTTATAGATATAATTAATTGATTGAAGAGCACTGACTAAAAGTTTAAAATAAATGTTCCAAATTATACAGATATTTGAGAGAGAGAGAAAAAGAGAGAGAGATGTTTTGGTATATCAGAATGTTTGTGTAATTTAATATGTTTTTGTTCATTCTTGTGTTTTTTCACCAAACGGGGAAATTATATATTTAATATTCAGGGATCATACCCAAGTTAAATATTTTCAATTACATAGCCCAGAAATACAATCACAGAAAAAATAGCTTCATATCATATACTAATTTGTAACAACACTCATTAAATTAAACCACGGAAAGAAAATTTGGGGAGTCAAATGCAACATGGTGAGATTTTTTTTGGTAACAGCCGTCAGATTGATTGACTTTTTAGCAGGAATTGTTGTGTTGACTGTTGTAGATAAGCCATAAAAGGCTCTTGCTTTTACGACTGACCACTCCGAAAGCTTTTCCTTTTTCCCCAACCTATGGCTATCTCTAGAGTCAAATTTGTGTAAATTAATAAGCGGAGTGTAACTTATTTACCGAATAAATAAACATGTTTAAGAAATATAGACAGTATGGTTATATTAGTCCAAGTTTTATCAAGAAAATCATACTTCGAATTTCGAACCTTTTCATTTTAATATCATAAATACAGAAATATAGATAAAAGAGTTATATCTATTCTTAAATATCAAAATCAACTTCACTGCATACATTTGTTTAGCCTATAGCTAGTAGTTACAGATAAGCGTCTGTATTACTATGACTTAGGCATACTAAGGTAAAAGAGAAAATTATATTATTAATTACTATTGGGATTCGCGGACGAGATGCAATGACATGAGAGATCTGTGATTGTTTTTTTACAGTCATGAAGTGATAAAAATAATATAAAATAAAAAGAAATGGTATGGACGGTAGCGTTTGGAATTATTCTTATATAATATATTTATTCCCATTGTACCAATTCTTAATAAAATCAAATGGAGACAACTTGTAATCAATTGCAATGACCATATTAAAAGCTTCATGGAAAAAAAGTAAAACTGAAATCCACGTGATGTACTAAAAACTTACGAAAATTTACTCATAGTTAAGTTGAAATCCACGAATAAGCTTTATGCAACATAAATATTTGATGCATATTTTGTTTTCAATTCAGGTAGACCGTAGAGATCGTGTGGATAAAATGAGAAATAGTGATGATTTATTACTTATTTATGATCCAATCCATAGAAAAGACGATATATGAATCTACAAAAAATTGAGATGCAACAGTTTATATCGTTAATCCTAAAAAAAACAGTTTATATTGTTTAATCTTCATTGTAAAAAAGGCTTAAATCTGTTGCACACAAAAAAGCTTAAATCTTTGCTCTAATGTAATCCCTTCTAATGTTTTTATTCGAGCCTTGTAAGAAAAAAAATGAATCTCTAAATTAAATCATTTGAAAATTTATAAAAAGGAATAAAGATACTACAACAAATTTAAGTGTTTTGAAAAGTTTTATAAACCTTCCGAGACAACTGATTAATGACTCTTCTAAAACTAAAGAATACTTCATCCAAAAAAATTATGCTATCTATTATCTTATGAAAATTTGCAATTTGTTACAAGTAACTAAGAAATTATAATTAGAAATGTCTTAAGAGAAAAAAAAAATGCTTATATAGCTACTACTTAGTGCCTTATAGTAACAAGAATTGATTTTATGTATTCATTTTCTTGTGTAAGACGTGCAGTTTTCGAAATTCTTCCATCTTATTTCCACTTGATTGTATTGTAGTTTGCTCAATAAGAAGTCAAGCTTTTATACATTAAAAACTCTTACTAAAAGAAAAAAGAAAACTTAGAATAAAAGTTAGGAAAAAGAGGTCTCGAATTTGGGTGTTTTATGAGAGACAGAGTAACCAATGTGTGAAGCGCCACGTAATATGCGACGTAGGGACTTTCATGTCTTCTCTTTGTCCCTTTCTCTTTGGATTTTAGAATCTCTTTGACTATTTCTTTTTTTTTTTTTAATTATGTTTTTCACTAAACTAGTAGAGACATCAATAGTAAAACTACCAGATGGTCACTTATAAATTATAAAATTATTCTATAACTTATTTACTTTCACATTGTCGTTGTACGACTAAATTATTTCTCTAAAAAACTATATATGGAATATCCAATCGCTCGGTATCTTGGAATTTTTTGTAGGTATTGGTATTTGTCTTACCTAAAACATTAAGAAAAAAAATGACCCTGATATTCTGTTTTTATACGTGTGTTGTACAGGTTGGTGATTAGTTTGATATGTTTACGGTTAATTAAGAAGGATTTAAATGTGCTAGTTTGAAAAGAAAACATTATATGGGCTTTTATATGAAAAGCCCAAGGCCTAGTTGACGAATACATTTCTTATAAGATAACAACAGAAGCGTGAATAGCAAGAAAACAACAATACACAGATAGAAAAGAAAAAAAACCTAAGAATGGTCCAACAAGTCAAGAGGTAGAATCTTCAATATTCTTCCGAGGAAACTCATCTTCGTTTCAAATCTCTGGAGATAGCTTTAATGGTGGAAGGTGTAGTCCTGCAACATCCTCCTATCAGTTTAGCTCCAAGCTCGCGCCATTTCGTTGCAAACATCTCAAATTCGGCATCACCGAAGCATTGCGATGGCTGCCAAATTTTACACAAAATTTTTCAATCATCATTTTCAAGAATGTAACTTTACATATCCATTCAATCTAGAGGTGAATATCTATTGCTTGGACCCGGTTTGTCCCATATAACCAATTCAACTTATTTGACCGGAAATCGTCACTGTAGTAAGCATTTCTATAGCTGAAATGATTGACTCATGAGATTGATGTGATCATTTTTCTCCTAAGTATACATTCCAAGTCCAAATTTATATACAAATAGGTGAGAAAACGACATACCAGCCATTTTTTCGCTTTCCCGTCCCAAACCTCTCCACTATTGGGGTAAACAACGATTGCTTTCTTGGTCAGCTGAAAACAGGAAATGACATAGATGATAAGACATAAAGGTCATTACTTTGCGATGCATTTTTGCTACAGAGTTTTAATAACTTTTTACTTGCCTTGGAGAATTTACGAATCAGACTCTCGATGAACTGAGGAGGCGCGCAGTTAATGCCAACCGCGTAAATGTTGTTGCTTTTGTTAAGAGTTTCGATGCATTCCTCAAAGCTCTCTCCTGATGGAGCTTTCTCTCCATCTACAGATGTGAAGCAGATCCATGCCGGGATTTGCACATTCTCTTCCTCCAGAAGCTCAGCGCACGCCTGAGATTTTGAGATTTGCTAAATATTCAAGAGACTGATAACAACAAACATTTGTGTAAAGAAGCAGTCGTCTTTTCAGTGGGGCAAGAGCAAAAACCTGAGCCTCAAGTTTATTAGGTATTGTTTCAAAAGCAAGAAGATCAGGACCAGCTTCTACTAGGACTTGAAGTCTTCTCCTGTGGAAGTCTTTTAGTTTAGCCAAGTTTACGTTCTCTCCATAGTTTCCACTGCAAGAAGAGCATCGAACAACCATAATTTAAGACATCTACAGCTTCACGTAACCAAAATTATGTAATGTGACTTAAAAGGCACCTGTACTCAGAGCCATCAGCAAGATAAGCTCCATAGCTTCCAATAGATGCAGCTACAAGAGCTCGGTTATAGCTATGTCCTGAAGTTTTGCTTACTTTGTCCCAGAATCTATCACGAGCTTCAACAGCTAATTTTACGCTCTTTTGGAGCAAGGACTCGCTCTCTTCCATGGTTAATCCTCTTGAGAGAAACCCCGGGATAGTCGCCTGAAAAACAAACCGGTAAAATGATATATGAATAAACTTCAAAGTGAAGTCGTAAATTTGTAATCTTTACAAAACAGAACAAGACGAACTCAATATGACAATTGGCGAATCAAATGAAATAAGAAAAAGACAAGTATCTTTCTGACCCTACAATCTTGAACTATTATTCCAACAGCAGAAAAGGTTTTTTCTTATGTTTTCCTTGTCATCACCAGGAATTTACACTATGTGATTCTGAAACTTAGATCTTTAAAGATGGAATTAAATAAAAGGAAAAGAAAGAAAAAATCAGATGGATTGTCAAACAAGAAAGGGAATGAACAGATATTATAAAGTTAGGTTGCTTCAATTACTTGATAAGATGAAGTAACCACAATGTCTGCACCTGCTTCCAAATATTCAGTGTGAACCTGCAAAAAAAATTTTCAAGAAAAAAACGCTAAATCTCCAGACCATAAATCAAAAATTTAGAGTAATTAAAAAAAAAAAAAATCTAAAAGATATGCCTTTTCAAACGCAAATCTCATATTCAATCATATTCATGCTCATAATTGTTCGTAGCAATCGAAATAATCACCAACCCCTAAAACCGCAATTTTCAAATTTTGGAAAAAAAACAAAAAAAAATCACAAACCCGCTTGATGAGTTCAGGATCTCTTATGAGAGATACAGCACTCCACAAAGGGTCGTTAATGGCGGCGCCGTGAATCTCGAGCTGGGTTGCGAAACCGCCGTCGACCACCGCACAGCCGCCGCATTTCTGTATCAAATCTTCCAACAATGCCGATTTCTTCTCCAAACCCATTTCTCAAAAACAATGTCTTTCGTTCTTCGAAGAAACCTTTGAACAATAAAAAACAAAACCCCTCGAAAACGAGAAAATTTGAAATTTTTGTCGCGAAATCGGACAATCAACGCCGCTTTTGTTGGTAAAATGGTTTTTTTTATCTCTATCAAAAACACAATGGATGTTTCTTGATTCTTGTCTCCCTCTACACTCCTACATATATGTTGTGGATAATGGGCTTGTGTTGGGCCCACTGTATGTAATAAAATCTTAATTTTTTTCTATAAAATAATCTTTCGAATTTAATTAACGCGTTTCTCTAACCTGTAAAAACAATTCAACTTTGCCAGCGAAAAAAAAAAAATAATAATCTCCGTTTCCACTCCACCGTCAAACATATAAAATGGAATTTTATTAATTTTTAACCATCGAAAAGACATTAAACATGCGTACATTACCTTATTTTTGATCAGTATACCTACTCTATATAAGTCAATTACAAACGAAAATCATACTTCTGTTATGCTCACACATTTAAAAATTTTCTTTCTCAAATGTTTCGGGTTTTCTGAATTCTTTTCTCGTTATTATGGTGTGGATAGCGAAAATAAATACAAGAGATATAAATGTGGTTAACGCAAAACATATGAAATAAATATGTAACGTTATATTTCTGTTGAATATTCCTTTTTCACTAGCGGCGGATTTAAATGTCTTTTTTACTAGAGACATAATATGATTAGAAAAAAAGAGAGTTAAAATAATACAAAAAACGAATTTAAAAAACTATTTGTACCAGGGGCACAATCCTCGTTGTAACAAATCCACCCCTGGCTACCATAAGACCTTAATGCTAAAGAGCGACTCGACGAAGCGATAAACCAAATTTTAAGAAACTTAAAACCTTATATGGAATTCTCCTAAGTTAGATAACATTTGTTTGCGTGGTATTAGCAAGTAAATACAAAACTTTAAGTATTGACCAAAAACATCTAATAAATGTAGCAAGAGCTAGCCGTGAATGCAGGCATGAAGATAACAATTATGACCATGGTCGGATTTAAATAAATCATAAGTCCATAAAAACATTTACATGTGCAGAAAAGGTTGGTCTTAGTTGTTTTCAAAGCTATATGCGAATGTGTCATGTGAAAGGTATATCTTAATTAAAGTCACAGCCAAACAATTAAAGTTCATTCTATAATATATATAAGAGAATGATATTATTTTGGTTAAATTTCATAAAACAATGACTAAAATATAGTTTCACCTTCTTCTTTTTTCTGGCCAACAATACAGTTCCATCATTTTAAAGAATTGTGACTCGTATACATTTTTATAAACACCAAATTTATCCGAGAACTGTTTTAAAAATCAATAGTGGGAGTCTCAAATCCAATTTATTTTTGATACATTGGATTCTTTGAATGTTGAAGTTTGAAACTAAGTCTCTGGCATGGTATTGTTTGGTGGGGTCAACGATGCACATTTCTTGTATCTTGACTTTGAAGAAAAGTATATGTGGTATGTGGCATGGCTTCACCGCTATCGCAACCTTCTTAAATAAAGTTTCAAATGTTAACCATATTTTTCTTAAAAAACTTCTTATTATGTTATGTACACAAATACTTACCAACGAGCCCTCACACATTTGTGGATTTTGCCGTAAGAAGTTGAAACATTAAAGTAGCTTTAAGTTTGTTCAACCATTCTAAAATTTGCAAAAGAAAAAAAAATCAAAATAACATTATCGGTTGAAAAAGAACGAAAAAGGCTTGGTTGTTCGCTGTGGTAGTTGAGGTTACAACTTACATCAGATGCAATTAACTAATAATTAATAATTACTAATGATATAAAAAGACTAATATAATTTTGTGGATAATTGCAATTTGTTTGCATTAAATGAATTATTTAAAAAAAAAACTTTAAATGAAAAACCCAAATTTCTAGTCTTTTTTGAGAAACCGAATTGCGGAAAAAACTATATATTTCTTACAATCTAATGATCTTAGTTAGTACTAAAGTAATATTCATACAACTTGGTTATTAAATAGTGAACAAAAATCAATCATCATCGTATACTTTTATAACATGTATTATATAACTAAGTAAAATGATTTTAGAGGAAAGTTTTTTCCCGAGTACATTTCACACAAAAAAGTAAAATGATTCTAGATGTAATTACTAATTACAAAACATATATAAGTTATAACTGGTTTATCTTAATAATTCCACTTTCAGTAGCGGCTTCATATCTTGACAACCAGCCAGTACTCTCTCACGAATTTGTTCTAGTCGCTATATCAAAGATATAAACTATAAACTATAAAGTCATCGATAACATTAGCAACCGCAAAAATTCGTTTTCCACAACTTCTAACAACCGCAGCCGCACGTTCTACATTTAACCGGTAAGGCCTATACGGTATGTATGTTGTATGTAATTCCATACTATTTTCGCACAATGGTCGTTTGTTTGACTTCGCTTATTTTATGTACGGCTCACTAGCCCAAGAAGAAAACTAATTTGTCGTTTGAGATTTCGGTATTGTCCATTGGGCTTTAGGTGCCATATGAAACTTATTGATATCTTAATTATATAGTTGATTGCTTGAAGAAAGCAAATACTACTAACTTTTTATTTTCTTCATTCAGTTCCAAATCACTAACTTTCACGTCTTGCAGAATTTTCTATCGACAGACAGTGACAGTTGAAATAGCCAATTATACATGGGCTTTTGCACAGATCATATAATGAAATATCATTATAAGCAGATCAAAAAAATATTAATTAAAAAATAAATAAGATCTGCATACAGAACTGGGTGAAAAGCTGCTATTTTACAGTAGTTTTGAAAAAAAAATATTTTTCTTTGATTTTTAGAATATTAAAAATCTGCATGCAGATTAATTAATTTTATATTAATATTTTTTGTTCTGCATACAATTTGTGAATGGTAAAAAAAAAACAGATCATCTTATGCATTTTTTTTGCATTTATTCTGTTATCTATTCAAAGCCATGGACTCGAACTTGTCAAATCTCAAATCTCAAGTCTACAATGACTATTATGTCTTTTTTCTCTCAATTCAACTAATCTTAAGTATTCATTCTTTTGTCAGCATGTTAAGAATTCACTTAAATATCACGAAAACGAAATAACAATTCAATATGAATATGGATACATAATTCTGTCCAATTAAACGAAACTATTAAACTACAATCTGAAGTGGAGAGATCGCTTGACACAAAAGATTAGTAAAACAGCTTACTAATACTAAAGATGGAACTAGTTAAAATATATATAGGAAAACTTTTGGCAACACTTGTCATATACGCAAAGGTTTTCTTTGACGAAAACAAGATAATTATTTTTAAAAATGTGATTAAGAACCAACGCAATTAGAACGGTGATTATTGGTGATATGTGATCATCAACCAAACCCATTAACCTCTCTCTCTTGCATTAATTTTGGACCATACTTCTTTTTGGTGTAGACTTTTCAAGAAAACTCTACGTGTACATTCATTAAGCCTAAAGCCTATTTAAGCTTAGATTGTAGAGAATAAAATGATCTATCTTTAGCTCTGAACCAATACGATTGAAACCTGAATGGAACATTGGCGATGACTTAAAAGAGGACAAGAAGAAACCACAAGGCAATAACTAGGCTTCACATATATATCTCATAACTCAATAGGCAAAACTTACAAAGATTGAAAGAGCTTACAAAACTGAAAACACCTAAAAGGCTTTTCAAAGACAAAAATCCCCATTTGGACAGAACATAGCAAAAACCCAAATGAGACAATAATTGCCTCCAAAAAAACCCACCTGAGATCTCAAGTTTGATCTCACCTCTCTTATCTTCTCCACAACATCAAAACCATTATGTCTACAAAACTTTTTAGTAACACCAACACACAAAACTTCTCTCTTTAGGGTTCTTGCTTCCCCTGAGATTAATTGCCTCCGCTATACTGTAATAACTTAAACACAAACCGAGTAAAAAAGAGCTTTCTTTGCTTAGCTCCTATAGCTAATAAATAACACCTAGCTGCAAAACTTATGGGCACGCGATATTAAGAGGAGTGGTAGTAGTTGCTGTAATGTGATCGACGAAACCAAAATTGTCGATGGTAGTTCCAATGTGACCAAGATCGATCTCCACATCTGAGAAATCATAGTCCGGAAGTTCGCTTGGACCGTCACAATCAAGACCAATGATGTTCATATCATCTATGCCGCAGTAATCATCCAACAGTTGGTTGTTCTCTTCTGTAAAGAGAAAATCAAGCTCACAAGCATTTGGGATTAATGACTCATCAACGAAGCAACCCATGTCTGGAATCTGTAGATCTGCGAAGTTGAAATCGAAACTCGCTTTCTTCGATTCACCAGCTTCAGGACCGATGGTTGAATCGACTAGCTCCTTGTCAAGATCAATGCTTGAGACAGCTTCAACATTAGACCCAGAGGCTGAGACCAGAGACTCCGACTCATGTGAACCTGACAGAGCATTGTCGGACAAGTCAGAGGAAGGAGCAGAAGTGGCAGCAGCCAAAGCATCAAATTCTAGCTTCTTAGTAGCATAAGCATCAGCTGCTTGTTCAAGAGTCTCATAAGTGCCCAACCAAGTTCTTGTCTTGGTGATTGGATGTCTAATCTCAGCAGCCCATTTGCCCCATTTCCTCTGCCTAACACCAACAGGCTTGGAAACACCATTTGAACGTCCAACGACCCGAGGGGTTTTGCTGCTTAAAACCCTTTTGCTAGAAGCAGAGGTTTTGGCTTTGCTTCCACCATTATTACTCTCCTGACAGTACGAGCTTTCAGATTCAGCTTGAGTAGTGGCTTGAGAGAAAGGGAGGTTGACCTCGCAGACATAACGTTTCCTTTTCAGATTGGTTTCATCTTCTTCGCTGGATGAGTAGTCAGTAGCGTAAGGATCATTCACTACGAATCGGATTTTTCTCATAGTCTTCAAGTCTTCAGATAAACCAGGGAGGTGATTTAGCTGGAAAGTTTTCTTCTTGGGTTTTTTGCAGGGTTTACTGGTTTGAAAAGAAGAACGTTTCTTCGGTTCAGCCATTTTGTCGAACACTTGGTGAGCGAAATTCAAACCAAACCCTCTAAACCCTAAAATATCCTCTTCAATTGCCCAGAGAAAAGCCTCAAAATCAATAAAAGTCTTCTTTCAAGAAAAGTTACTCCAGAACAAATCCTGTGTCAATAACCCAGGAATACTTACTTCAGATTCTAACAGAGAAACTATGGAAATCATTAAGAAAGTTAATAACTTTTCGAAAACCCAGTTACCTTTTAGGCTTTAAACGCATGGAGCCGATGATATAGCGAGAAATCAACCACTGGACCAGCCAGTAGATGCAGCTTGATGAACAAGAGAACCCAAGAACAGAGCATAAAGCGATTAAGAAGACGAAGACGAAGACGAAGATGAGAGAAAATTAGAAGAGAGAGAAGAGAGGAATAAAAGATAGAAAGTAGCCGGAGCTCTGATTAAACAACTCCGGCGACTTCGAAGAACCTTCTCTCTCTCTTTCTCTACACTCTCTCACTCCGTTTCCCCAAAAGTGAAAAAGAAAAGTGAGATAGTAATAGATATAAGAAGATACAAAAGAAGAAGAAGAAGAAGAAGAAGATAAAGTAAGAATCAAATCGAATCGGAAACAGATGATAAATCTATGGCCAAGATTTTCCTGGCTCTCTAACAATGACAAAACTGAAGAAAGAAAAAAAATTATGTCGGAAAAAGAAGGGTAACCCGAAAAAGAAACAAAGAAAAAGCTAAAGACACGTCAAATGGTAAGTGCGAAATTTAAGAGACCGAGAAATCCAAAGGATGTTAAATTGATCAAACACATAAGTCAATAAAAAATTTATTACTAACTCCTTTCCTCGAGATCTTTTCATAAGAGCATTAAAAGTTTCAAACAAAACACGTAGTTGAAAATTAAATTTCTTTCTCTGCTTTTTTTTTTTAATGTTTGTGGACAATTTTTTTTTTTATTCAACCACAAACGATAGCTCTTTTTATTGGTGTAACTGTTTTTACAATATGGTAATAAAACATACGATTTTTGGAATTATTTTCATGGACAGTAAGTGAAATTTACAGTTTGTGAGTTCCTGGGAACAATAAAACTTTTAGTTATCTCGACCAAAAAAAGTTTTAAAATAACATGACCATTACTTGTCACTGCTACTGCACTGTGGTTCTGTGAAGTAGAATACATATATATATGTTGGGTGGTGCCGTAGTGACTACTAAGTACTAACTAATACTCAATTACACTAATCAAATAAATTGAATTAGGTGTAGTTTACTTTTCCATGTCTTGATGGAGGCAAAGAAGGCCAATTTCGAACGTGGGATTGTCACATCTCAATATTTGTTAGTTGCTACTTGCTACCGACCGAAGGACTTTTCATCACACTTCAACAAGTCTTCTTCCCAATTTGTAGTGGAAATAAATATGTACAATGAGAATAATTCACCTTAAGTTGAATATATCCCCTCTATCTATATATATATATCGACTTCAACTTTCTTTCTAGTCAAGAAAAAAAAACAACAAAACCACTTTATATAATCAAATATAAATAAAGAGAAATGAAAGAAGATGTCATTTTCTTTCATTTTCACAAAGGAAATGTTAAGAACTCGTGATTTTCCAATTTTGTTTCTTTTCGTGTTCACAGCCTTTTTTTCTTATCGCTGGCGACTGCCACATTCGTCCAGACTTACTTACTCCCTTCATATTTACAAGACTGCCAGAGTCAGAGTTGGCGAATTATATATTAATCTAAACTTTTTTTTAATGCAGCATCTAAAAGAAATTTAAATAAGTTATGTCATATGTGAGAAGAAAAAAACAGTGAACGCACGCCTGAATGCATAGGACTATCTACCCTACGTGAAGACGAGACAATATAATTACGAGAGTTAAACAGTATAAATTAGCCCATATTAACTACATATCCACCAAACATGTTTTAGGTAAGGCAGGAAATTAATTTGACGATATTTTGTCAACGATCGTTGAAAAAACCATTCCTAACTAACAATGAATTAAGTAATGTCTTTACGTGTGTCGAATTTTGAAAATGGTTATCAACTGTGTCTCAAAGAATGTTCATACAACGATGGTCGCGAATAAAAACCAAAAAATAATACTTTAGACAAAAAAAGTCGTTGGTGAAAAAAATTAAAATCAAACTTTTGTATGCTACATAAATTCTAGTCTAATAACATCTCTATTAAATATGTCTAAACCAATATAAACGGACGGAGCTAACAAATAATTAGAACCTATTCCGTTATTACTGGAGTAACAATTTCTATTTTTTATTTTCGGTCGAAATTAAAAAGATAATTAGAAAGATCGTTTTCATTCACACAGGCGTTGGCATGTCACGTGGTTAATAAATGTAGACATTTCAACACGTGTACTATTTGGTATATTAACATTCAGAAATTTGTTCACAATAAACATTAAGACATAATTATATACGTAGCTATCGACGGCCATATATTTCTCTATCGACGACCATAGAGCTCAATAATTATCTTTTAATGTGGAAAGTTAATTATTTAAATAGTAACTAATTATGTAATAAGTGGACACGTCAGAGAAAGTGGAGAGTTGAAAAACACAGTGTGTAGATCGAGACAAGGTAGTGGACGGAAGCAGGGAAACAACAGCTTAGCCGCCTACGTGGACCCTACATTTTTTTTTTTAATACTTTTAAATTGTCATTTTCGAGTTTTCTACAATTGAAATTTTAACATAAGCTGATTGATTTATATATAGACGGCCCATTTAAGAGGCCAATTTCAGTGTATCGTTTCGTTAAACTAAAAGTCCTAAATAGGCCCTTTGTTATAAGTAGATTGCAAAGCCTGGTTGTTGAAAAATGCGAGTTCTTTGTTTACCATTGATAAACCAAAAGGAAACCATTGCATACATATATTCGATTACATAGCGACAAACGTATCGTTGAGCTTCAAGAGTTTCCATGAAATTCATGAACCAAGAAATGTGTATGAGACTGTCCAAAAAGAGAGACAACGGTCAAGACACCAAAAAAAATCAAGAGCGAAAATGTATAACCTCCAAATGAAACTAAAAAAAAAACGCGTAAACTTGGTGCCTTAAATATATATATGTATACACTTATATATTTATACATTTCAAGTTACTAACAAAACTCAGGTCCTCAAATTATTCGATAATTCAGTGCATATAACGTGTTCTTTATGAAATGATAGTCCTCGAAAAAAGACGAAATAAAAAACTAGAAAATTTATTAATGAATATTCGAAAGAGTACTTTCTCCGCGTTAACCATGATCATCACAATGCACAAGGTTTTGGTCTTCCTTATATCTTTCTTTTATGTTGTCTCAAAGTTCTTGGTCTTACTTAACAAAAAAAGTAATTAGATCTTCTATAAAAAAATAAACAGATACCAAAATTTCCACATGACCTCCTTTATTCGAAAGTCCATTTAAAGAGCAAACGTCATGGAGCTTATGCTATAATTCTCTCAATGATGATGTCATCATCAATCTATACCGTCCATTTTATTTTAGCGGTTGACAATATCGACCGTTCAAAGTCCACACCGACGGCCTATAAGTGTTCCATTATAATTTTTGACCAAAATAATATCACCAAATTAAAATTTCCCGTTCAAACTAAACGACACCGTTTGTGTTTTATTGTGGCTAACATGAGCTCGGAGAAGAAAGAGGAACGCCGCGAAGAAGGTAACGGAGGGAGATCGTCAACGGAAGTTGTTCGGACGGTAACGGAGGAAGAGGTGGATGAGTTTTTCAAGATATTACGGAGAGTACACGTGGCGACGCGGACGGCTGCGAAAGTTAACGGCGGTATCGGTGAAGGAGAGTTACCGTCTAAGAAGAGGAAACGGAGTCAGAGCCTCGGGTTGAGAAACTCATTGGATACTAACGGCGTTCGAGACGGAGAATTCGATGGAATAAATCGGGTCGGGTTACGGAATCCGGGTTTGGATCTGAACTGTAAACCGGAACCCGAAGCCGTTAGTTTGTAATTCCTTCTTCAAGATTTCTCCTCACCTTCAATAATCAATTTTCGATATATTTTCGATATCACCTAAATATATATATATATTTTAAAAAAAAGTCTGGTTTAAAACGGTATTCAGATTGTTATCTAAAGTCTAATGCTGCAATTCTAATGCTGCAATTTGATCGGTCCAGAAAAGTTCTAACGTCGTGTATAATAATAAGTAGTCGTTCTTACAAAAAAAAAAAAGTAGTCGTATAATCATAGAAGCTATTATGTAAAACGCAGATAGTTCCGTAAAGAAATAATTTAGAAATAATGTTTCCCTAATCATAATCAATACAGCAATACTACTTTTTGTTGGTCAAAAAATATATTTATACTACTAGTTTATAATATCTTTGAGAAATTTGGTATTAGCTTTTTTGTCATGAACATAAATGCTGCCATCCAGGAAGTCTTTGTTTTTAGCAAAATTGTTACATTGTGGTCTATTTATGTGCTACTATTAATTTCTAGATTATACACCGTTTATACTCCTTTTTTGGTATAGGGATTACTGATTCGTGATTGATTATTTAACACAACAAGGCATTTTATTTCCTTTTTCTTATTCTTTTTGACTGACTTTCTCATAGAATGATTCGATTTAGTGGCTCGTAACGGTAATATATGGGGGGCGTAAAATATAGAGTACTGTATTACTATATAGCTTGTTTTACGAATAGTGTTTCTTTGATTGAATTCATCCTATTTCCACAAATAATGGGCCTTAATAAAATTGGGTCAATGATACATTGGGCCTAGTCAATCTGCTCTAATTAATGCGTCAAATATACCCATTACATCAGGATCCAAAAACAAAAGGAACAAGCAATTCATAAATTGGTTTCCTTCCCGCTTGGGCTAAAATTGACATGGACGAACTAACCTAACGTTGTGTGTAATTTACATGGGCGATTTATCTAGCACTAAATGTGGTTTAAGTTATGTAATTTAGTTTAGACAAATACTGTAACATTAGATGTTTGTTGTCTTAATCGGTATTCGCTATTCGGTAATGTAATCACACCTATGGGACCTTGTAGTTGTAGGCAGGCGGCAGAAGAAATTGGACAGAAATTTGGCAGAAGAGGGAAAGGAGTTTTTGCGACTCTAATCACAATCATCCATTTTACGTGCTGTTTCGTTTCCCCCCCCCCCCCCCTGTCTTTGTAATGATAATTAAAGTTATTTGAATTAGTCAAAAGTTGGTGATAATGTATAATAGAATTACTAACACGATATGATAAAAGTAAATTGATGTATCCATTACATTATATTTTAACATTTTCCCTTTTGTTTTATATACATTTTCTCAGATCTTCTATATTATTCTAAGATTAACAACGCAATCATTCATAATATGTAGTTCGGTAGTTGAAGACTTATTTGCTAGTCGATAGTAATGATCTAATCTTATCTTTTGCAATATGTTGTATCCTGAGATTATGTTATGAGTATTTTCATAGCTAAAACAATAGGATATTTGGTATTTTTATTATTAGAATACAAAGAATTATGATATTTTTTAGTTATTATATAATAAATACCACCATTGGTACTAAGACAGTCATGGAAAAGCGTTTGATGCGTTTGGAATGCACCAAACATGACATGCAATGAAACCTATTTTTCAATCGAGAAATATGGGGAAAGAGAGAGAGAGATGAAATTAATATGTTATCTTATTGGAATTTCTTATGGAGAAAGATAGAAATGGGCCACCATCTCTACACATTTGTTCTTCATTTTTTTCAAATTTTTTACACTTTCTTTTTCTCTTTGAAAGCAAAGCATCTCGTGAAACATACGTGAGTCTTCTTGAAAAAGAAAGAAGAACAAAGAAACGTGAGTCTCATAATTATCACACGATACATGGATGGAGTCCCTTGTCACTTATTTTCATTATTAACACTTATTTATATTTTCATTAGGATTTATACATTTTTGAAAATTGTTATTAGATTATAACACTTTAATTACTATTCACGTTCACTTTAGCGAGTTTGCTCTTGTTACGAGTCTTATGATACGACACGACTGTTTGAATACGGTATAAAGTGAAGTAAGGAAAAAGGTAAATAATTATTTGATTAGTGAAAGTGTTAGATACTTATGTGCTACAATTATAAATAAATAAACTAAAAATATATGACATCTCATACAATTACTCCCACGATACATAAAAATTTTACACAAGATGAAGTTTATTTTCCAGGTTTAAACTTCATATATTCTTACTGTAAAATGAATAAATTTTTATACATCCCAATTATATATATGATCAAACTATAATTATATACACACATAAATAAATATATATATATAGAGAGAGAGCTATATATTTTCTAGAGAATTAGTAACTAACCACTTTTTTGTTTATTAAATAGTTATCAGTAATCACAAGTTCACAACTTTCTAGCTTCGGGCCTTTCGGCAGCTATAAGACCGGTTTGGTGGTGGTAACTGGTGAGATAAGTTGGGTCAGTGGTTTCTCAGCACCATTCGATTTGATTAATAATAAAAAAAACTTATAGTTTCGAGTATGAATCATATTATCTACTGTCAGTCTGTGTATATAATAAATCAGTTTTATTTCGTTCTTATCGTTTCGTCCCCCATGGTATCTTTTTCCTTACATTCTAACTTTGTAAATTCGTTTGATTAATCTAATAAAGACGTTTTTTTTTTAAAAAAAAAAAACAGTTTTATTTAAGTTTGTATTGAAAATAGGAAATAGATATATAATTTAACAAAAAATCAGTATTAAAAATATTGTTAAAAAACTTTTTTATGTTTTTTAAGCAGCAGTCGTACAGCAGCTACAAAGATTTACAGACATATAAATTTATTTAAAAATTATTTGAATGAGATAATCAGATTCAGAGTAGTCAGAGTATAGTCGATAAGTGCAAAACAAGAAAAAAGTCATATAATCCCTAACATAATTGATTACTTTTTAATTTAATTTTCTCCATCTTTTGAAAGAATTTCATCGAAATTGCAATTGTAGTGCTTTGAAAACTATTGTTTTGGTCGCTTCCTAACAAAACGCTATACCGAACAAACAAAGATTTACAACTCGAACAATTTGTCTGGATTAACGTGGACTGCCCATATTCGCCACCTAAATGACGTGTTATACATGATCATATACAAATCCGATAAATAATTCCCGACTGATAATCAATCATTTTATTTCTGTTTAATATTGCTGCCACACGATTCATAATTTTTTCTCCGAAACATTTTCATTTTTTGGGTGCCAAAGTCGTCTTTGAGACAAATTTAAGTACTTAACAATCATCTACAATTGCCCCTTTTGAAAATTCGTTAAGAAAATTCTTGAGCCATCTGGTCTCTACATCTTTAAAGATTGGGATATCCAAAATCCAAACATACTGTCCACTTTGAATGGTAATTAAGTTCTTAAGGGATATTCTTACAAGTTACAACTGTCATTTTTGGGTTAAAGACTTAAATCTTATAATTGTCATTCTTCGGTGTTGAATTTTGATTGTTAATATAGTTAATTAACTGCTTTTTTCACATAATATATCGTTAACAAAAATTAAAAAAAAAATACAAAACGAATAATTGAAGAAGGTGTTTTAAATTATATACAAAGGATTATAAATCAGCTGAAGGAAGAGCTCTAGAAAAATCGAACTTCATCTTGCTCTAGCCTAGTTGAACTTGAACTTTTACTTGCGCTAACCTAATTAATTCATCTTCCTTAAAACTTATTCACCTTCCTAAAACTTAGTCATTTTCAGCTTCTAATAGCTTATTTGGTTTTTATTTGTAATTTTTATTTTTATTTCCTTTCTATGATGCTCTACAAATGCTTCCCGGATAATCGACTAATTTTAGGATAACATGCCGAAAATGGTTATTTATTTGTTTAATTTAAAAATTATTGAAGACGTTGGAAAAACCAAGACGAGTACTCCAAACTAGTTGTCAATGAATGAAAAATGTCTTCCAGTTCTTTAAAAATCAAAATTGATGTCTGAAGTTTTCAGATTAAGTTAAAAACAAAGTTATGTTATGTTAGTTGAACCCACAATCCACAAAGCGACTATATCTATATATGCCTAAACCGAACCGTTGATGATGTAGTAATGTCGGTATCATGTGACGTGTACGAACACGGAACATCGAAAACTTGGGTTGCAAATTGCTGACAATACAAATGAAATCAAATAACAGACCGTTTAGATATTTCTTATATATCAAATTGATTTGTTTGGATCGAATAATCCACTTCATGTACACGAATATGCACGAGGCTACGTGACGAGTTGGAATTACGTGAACCACGAGACAATTTAAAACTGATCACAAAGGACTGACTTCAAGTTGATGAAGATCCCGAGTATAGATAGATGTATGATTTTCTCATGACTTGTTTTCTCATCTATAACATGGGTTTTTATTTTCTCTGAAAAGCATCTACAACATAAGTTTTTAGGTTGTCAAGTGGGATTATACGCTTCTACTTCCACGTTCTGGATACCAATTTAAGTAGTGTCCAATAAATTATAGTGTTATAGGTAAAACTCCAACAATTAAAGAGATTTTTTTTATATAAATTTTTTGCTGATATTATTGTATATAATTTCTTTTGTGATATTATTGTATATCTAAAACAATTTCTGCCGATGAAATAAAAAACCAATTTCTGTCAGAAATCCGTATCCGTATTTTTGGCAACCACTACCCGATTATATATATATATAGATTATATGTTGATCCAACGATAGTCACGAAGTGACTTGGACTAACGGGATTAAGCGACGGCTGAGATGAGAAGAGGAAAAGGTTTCGATACTGACACGTGGTAAGTTCCCTACACATGTCCTTCTATTATCGCCACAACACATCCTCACGCTGTCGGCTGGAAATTTTATTATGGGAAAAACATATTTTTTCTTCTCCACTACAGCTAAAATATATTTTTTTTGGGTGATTTACATCAATATTACTTTTAAAAGAACAAATTAACTAACTACTATAAAAAAGCGTCAATTAAGTGTATAGTACAAATCAACAGAAAAAAATATGTGGAAATGACATTGCATTCCTTGCTCCCTAAATCTAGACATCGCTTTTTCTGAT